CGCCCCCGCGCAGATCGGCCTCCCCGCGCCCCCTCCGAATCCGTCTTGGGAGATGAATATGTCGCCTTATTGGATGCCGAGGCCAGAGCCGGGTGATGGGGCTCGGCCAGCGTCGCGCATTTTCTTCATGCATATTGAGGATATGGTAATGAGCGCGTTTGCATTGTTGCATGGAAATACTGTGTTTCTTGCAGCAGTTTGTTGGAGGGGGGGGCTGCGAGATCAAGACTGCCCCGAAATGGGCTCAGGGCCCAGCAGCCACTCCTCAAGGGACGCGCAGGTTCCAGGGCTCTGGGGAGGAAATGACCTCGCCTAGCGCTGGACCGGCCGCGTTCCCCGCTTCACAAAGACCGGTGGAGCTCCACTCATTAAAGCCTAGTTACGGGAACCCCGCCTCACTCTCTCGCCTTGGTTCCTCTGCGTCCCCAACCCGCTGGCCCCTGAGTCCCCCCCTGGCATTTAGAGGCCTGCGATGGGGCGCCACCAGGAAATTAGTGCCTGACGACATCCTCGAGTGGCTATAAATTGTTTGCGATTCCCAGCGACACGTCCTGGGATCAAACACGGCCGCATTGTGTCCCCAGCCCCGCTGCTCCTCGTTAATCTTGGAGGCACGCTGGTATCCCTGGGCCTGGGGAGGTTGCAGTCAGGTCCTTCGACAGACAGTCGGGAGCCCACTGGCTTCTGGGCTCCTCAGGAAGGACAGAGTCACCCCTGGGTCCCTGGAGAGCTGAGGCCCCTCGCTGAGGTCAGAAGACAGCAGCTCAGAAGACAGGATCTAGAGTTGCCTCTCAAAAAGATGAAGACTCTGAAAGTCAGCGGCTCTGAGTTGAGTTCCACGGGATCAAGTAAAAGGAGGACCTCAGGACCGGCAACATTTGCACTAATCCCCTTCTCTCCTGCCTACTAATATGTTAGGGAAGTCCAGAACTTCTGGTTCAAAAGCAAAATGTAAAGATCTGGCCCTGCCTAGAATTGTCTGGGGTTAAGCATCCCAATCATCAAGCCTTCTACTCCCACCTCAACTATTGTTGAGTTTTAAATTTCCCTTAAATCATTTAAGAAACTCAAATACATGTTTTTAGAAAGAAAAGTTGGTACTACTGCTACTTTGACTGTAAATTGAGAAGGAGCTGTTACCACAAAAGGAAATTCTCAAAGATAAACAGCTAAAACCAGGCACTATAGATATACGTGCTTGCTTGGGAAAGACTTTGCGTGTCATTAGCAAGAGTTGCAGGTGTTAAAGAACAAATCTCAGAAGAAAAGGACGTTTTGTACTACTCACAGTTAACTTAATTCTCTGTCCTCACACTACCAAAAATCATGTTGTTGACCCCAAAAGCTGCTGTAGGGTAGGATTTTCCCATATCATTGTCTGTTGTAAAAAATTTAAGATGAAAACATAACGTGTTGAACAACTAATACTATTTACAGAATAATTGTGTTAAGCATTTCCAAATGGCACTGCATTCAGTCCTCACCATGGGCTCACTAGGGAAAGGCCCTTCAGGTGGCCAAGTGTTGGTGGCACCCAGTGCACGGGGGTGGGGGGGAGAGCTGAAGTCACCCTTTCTGTGCTCAACTATTTGTGTGTCTTGAAATAAAGCTATGCCAGGGAAAGAAGTATCTTTCAATTTGCACAGGTTTTGCAAAGTTGGGTGTAACCTAGTTCTTACCTTAGAGATTAGAAAAGAGAGATTGGCCCAGACTGGAAGCTTTGGGATATTCGGAACTGTGGTCCCTCTGGGGACTACATCGGGGTCTTCAGAGGTGGTGGTAGGGGTTTGGATGGGGGATACTGGAAGAAAAGTCCTTGGATTGGTTGCAGGGGCAATCAAAGCTCCCAGGTTCCCCTTTCCCTTCTGTCCACATTTATGCAAATGTTTGGAAAAGATCTGGGGGGGAAAATATAACTGGCGTTAAGGAGCTGTTCTTCTAGAGTCGAGGTGGGGTAGGGGAGCAGGGTGTTGTGGGTGCTTCAGCCTAATAGTGGGTGTCTGGCTATGTGTGTGTGGGAGTTTTTAACCTTTTGGGGGGGTTCAATAAAAAAAGTTTGCCTTGAGTTTACGGACCAGAGTTCTGCCTTTTTCTGATCCACACAGCTTGAGAGTTTCCGATTTGAAGACAAATGGAGGAATTGCACTGCACAGGAGATAGTCAGTTATGGGTAACTTCTGGCCACATGTTCTTTTTTTCTGTTTTGGCTTCCATCATGGGGGGGTACTTTGATTAAATTGCTTGAATTTTATTTGGCAACCTATCTAAATATTTAGCTCTCAGGGTTCCTTTGAGAACTAGGAAAGCTAGAGTTTGTTAGCCCTGGTTTGCATCTTCAGCTGTGAGAGTAGACGGGGCGGGTGGTGGCATCATGGTTACTTGCTGCTGCTCCTCCTACAGGAAGGAAATGGCACAGAAGGGGACCAAGGAGAGGGCAGGAAGTGCAAGTCCCTCTTCTGGCCTTTTCTCTCCACACCTCCCCTGTGGGGTAAGGTTGAGGACAGGCTTCCAGCAGTCACAGGAAGGAGTAGCTCTGTCTCTTCTTCCTGGTGGTCCAGGAGTCTCAGGAAGAGACTCTAGAGAGAACAGAAAGGCTGGTCTGGAAGCAGAAATAAGTAGGGACCCCCAACTTCCTCTGAATCTGCCATCCTTAACCCCAGCCCTTTCCTGATTTCTCATCTTTTTTTAGTACTTGGGATTGAACCAGGGGTGCTGTACCACTGACATATCTCTTAATCCTTTTTATTATTTTTTTTTGTTTTGTTTTGAGAAAAAATTTCACCTGTTTGTCCAGACTTACTTTGAACTTGTGATCCTCCTGTGTCAGCCTCCTGAGTAGCTCGGATTATAGGTGTGTGTGGTAGCCTGACCATCTTAATAAACAC